GTCCTTGCCAACACATACTTCTGGAGGACCTCTCCCTGCTATAAATAAACGCTGCCAAATTTGACAAGCTGGACCAAGTTGCCTGCTGAAGTGCCTACTAGGAATGGACTGCAGGAAGAACTGCAGTTGCATTGATTCAGAGTAGCAGCTGAGGAATCATTTTAGCATGGCAGTTAATTGCATTTAACACCTTTGATTAAACAGAGCCAGTAGAGTCCTAGTGAGTATAACTTCCCTCCTTAATTTTTTTTTTTCTGCAAGCCTGACTGCTTGAGGAATGACATCCAGCAGAGCTTGTTTTCCAGCTGAGTGTATGTCTGAAAGACTGGGGAAAATAGTGATGACACCAATTTAAAAAGCAACAAGAACAAAAAACATTGCAAAGCACCTGAAAAATTCTGAGAAACTTCCATGCAGCAGCTGCAACTGACTTGGGGGTAGGGAGTGTGGGAGACTTTTATAGGCAATGTCCCACAGGAGCTCCTAGAGACGGCTTTGAAATGCTGAGTAGTTACTGTGGCTGCACTAGCGAAGTCACATCAAAGAAGGTGTTTGAATGGGCATTTTCCTTGAATTTGCTGCTCCTGAAATCTAATCAGCAGTTATCACTGGGTGAAGGTGGCCTGGAAGAACTGAGCCAAACAAATTTGGAAAACTTGGGTTCTGCCCCGTTAATATTCCTTGATTTTAATGCATGTCTATCCCTCGCTTTCCCTGCTTCATGCTGGGAATTAACAGTCTGTCTTTTTCTCTGCTCACTCCATGCTGGGAGTGTTTTCTGGCACAGAAGAGTCCCGAGCATCTCAATTTTATGAACAAGATCCTAATGTGTGTATGTAATGATCCTTTTAATATATCAGTAGGTAGCAGAAATAGAATCGTGGAGGGGGGTTTCAGTGTATGTCAGAATGACAGTGCTGGGGTTTTAGAGTTTAGATAAACATTTCCCTGTTAATGAGATCAGGCATACTGATGTTTTTCCAGAGTTTTGTCCACTCTTGCTGTCATCTTTAGATTGAGCAACTTGGGAATCATTTTTTGGCCACATGAGTTACAGAAGCTGACTCATGTCTTCTTTCCAGCCAGCCACGTGTTTGTGCACACTTTCCCTGACCTGATAGGGGGATGATCCTTTTCTCTTAATAGAAATGAGGGTAGATGTGAGCTTCATGGAAAGAAAACAAGCCAGACAGTCACTTTTGTTACTTCTTTTTTTCCCCCCAGGTTTCCTGTTATTTGCTTTCCTTCCCTGGGTGAAGCAATTTACCTTTATAATAATTAATAATATAACTAATAAACCCCAGGCATTTTGACATTCATTTTGCTGTGGTGGTTAAAACTTTACTATAATGTGAATTTAAAATAGTCTATTAAACCTTATGACATACTTGTGACAAACCTTGTGACATAAACATGTCTAGTACTGTGCTGCGAAGACCTCCCTTGAAACATTAAGTTAGAAAGTCATCAGAAGTGGTTGCCTGTGATATTACCCCAGATGCCTCCGTGAGCCGAGTACAGTTCAGAGAAAACGATCACCCACGTGATGGAAACCTTTATTCTTTAACAAACCACAGAAATCTGTTCTTGACTTCTCTTGCAGCTGAGCGTGCTCTAGATACCATGAATTTTGATGTGATCAAAGGAAAACCCATTCGCATCATGTGGTCTCAGAGGGACCCCTCCTTGAGGAAGTCAGGGGTTGGGAATGTCTTCATTAAGAACCTGGACAAATCCATTGATAACAAGGCACTTTATGACACATTCTCAGCGTTTGGGAATATTTTGTCCTGCAAGGTGAGATGTGGTTACTTTGTCCAATTCTGTTATAGCGGTGACGTGATCAGACACGTCCCACGTAGGAAGCGAGAGGGACACCTTTCACCAGGTGGAGAGTGGAGTCTCTAAAAGGCAGAGTTGACCAAAGGTCAGGGATTGCTGAAGTTATGTCAGATTTGGTCACGAAGCGCGCAGGTCTGAAACACAGCTAGTGTTGAGCCTTGGCAGTGACCTATTTTTGCGTGCTGGCCTCGCGTCGGAGCGTGACAGAGGAGAGAACCTGCTCAGAGCGCTAATGTTTTGTTGTCCTTCCGCCTGTCTAGGTGGTGTGTGATGAGAATGGCTCTAAGGGCTACGCCTTTGTGCACTTTGAGACCCAGGATGCCGCAGATAGAGCCATCGAGAAGATGAACGGCATGCTGCTAAACGACCGCAAAGTGTGAGTGTCACAGCCAGAAGCAGCAACGATCGCATGAACCGTGATGCATCTCGGTATTAACAGGGACACACAAGGCACTGGTTCTCCTGGCCCAAGCCTTGGCCTGCTACCTCTCCACTACAGGGCTGGTGAGTGACCCTGCCCAAGCCATGGCCTGCTACCCCTCCATTACAGGGCTGGTGGCTTTCCCTAACCAAGCCTTGATTTGCTGCCTCTCCGCTAGTGGGCTGGGGTGGGTTTCTGTGGCCAACACTCTCTCCACTGCAGAGCTGGGTGGGTGTCCTTGGCCGACCATAGGACAGGTGATTTTTTTTTTTCTGGTTGGTCTGTGGCCTGTTTGTCCTTCTCTTCTGCTGTCACCCTTTCTTGTTCCCATTCCCAGCTCCTACTACACACTCATTTTTTTTTGCCTCGCTGCAAGTCACGCGTTGTTTTTTTCTATTCTTGAAAACAAGCTGCTGACTGGGATTTTTGTTCGTTCTTACAGATTCGTTGGGAGATTCAAGTCTCGTAAAGAGCGGGAGGCTGAGTTAGGAGCCAAGGCGAAGGAATTCACCAATGTTTATATTAAAAACTTTGGGGATGACATGGATGATGAAAGACTAAAGGAGCTCTTCAGCAAATATGGTAAATACAGAAACACTGTTAATGAGGCTGTGGATTTCGTGACCCATGGTCGTTTAACAGTATCGCTCTACCTGGGTCTCTCTGAGGCTGAGGAATACAAAGAGTTGAGGTGTGGGTAGTAGTTGTGCCAAATGTTGGACAGGAGGCAGAGGCTGACCCGCAGATGAGGGAGAGGGGGCTGGGGCTATTAGATGGAGTTTGATAGTCTTGAAATAGTTCTGTGACGCTTTACTAACCCTGTCCCTTGGTAACAGGTAAAACTCTGAGTGTTAAAGTCATGACAGACCCCACTGGGAAATCCAAAGGCTTTGGCTTTGTAAGCTTTGAAAAGCATGAAGATGCTAACAAGGTATGACCTATTTTTATGCTGCTTGGCTATCTTCAGAGAAGAAAAACATCCTTGGCTTATCATAGGAGCCTGTTACTGAAATGAGAGAAAATTCTGCCTCGGGCATAACCTCTTCTAGATGTGGGAACTTAGAAACCTTTTGCACCTTACTAGCTTGACATTTGAGAGTAACTTGGCATTTCTCCAGATGACTAAATCCACACAGAATGCAGTGGTATGTATAATCAAGAATGTTAATTGCTGAAGAAATGCTACAGTGCAGGGCTTAAGGAGAAGGAAGGTGTCTAGAGTGAGAACATTGCGTAGAAATGGTCTTCTCTAAGCCGTGTACTTGTTAAAATTTGGGCTTAATTGCAAGAAGGGGTGGGTATAAAGTCACAAGTTGCTGTTAATCCAGCGCTTACAGTGGTGGTGTCGGCATGATCTCTCCTGATAACTTCAGTTTTGTCTTTAATTAGCCGTTGTTACACGGAAGCAGTGCAAAGGTGATGTGGCAACCTTGGTTTATTTGCTAACAGGCAGGGATACAATGTGAGCTTTGGACAGTCCTGTTCTTAACAGGATCAGGTGCTGTCTTGCTTCAGCAGTTGACAGTTTCCTCTTGAACCCTCTGTCCAGGCAGTAGAAGACATGAACGGAAAGGATATCAATGGGAAAATGGTATTTGTAGGCCGAGCACAGAAGAAGGTTGAGCGCCAGGCAGAGCTGAAACGGAAGTTTGAACAGCTAAAACAAGAGAGACTCAGCCGATACCAGGTGAATAGTCTGCTCCTTTTCTGAATTTAAGCATCATTTTCAGTCTCTTGGCAGACTTGAAAGGAATTGACAAAGGAGAGATCCTGGGAGTTAAAACTTAAAGGTGACACTGTGGTATTTGGGGGAGAAGTGGGCGCCGGGGCATAGTCTTGGCAATTAAAGTGTTAGGATGTGAGACAAGTCGTGCAGTCCTTTCTGCTTTCACATGGGGGTTACCTGTAAGGATGGAGAGAGGCAGCGTAATCCTATGTCTTTTTCATTTATGGCAAAACTGGGTCATGTCAGAGATAGCATCTGGATCTTTCCCACTCCTTGTAGTACAGTGCTGGACTGGGGACACACGATGCAACAGGAAAGCAGAGGAAATCCAGACAAGCTCCCTTTCACCACAGTGGGACTTGTCTCTACGCCTTTGCAACATTTATCACCTTCAGCTTTGGGTGATATGAAAGGAAGGTTAAGCTAAATTAAGAGTTCTCAGATAAATGACAGTTGTGGCAGATGGATGCTAACAGTTGATGTGCTCGAGATTTTTCTTTAATGTTATGAATGTGTTATTGTTCTCTCCCTTCTAGGGTGTTAACCTGTACATTAAAAACCTAGATGACACTATAGATGATGAAAAACTGAGGAAGGAATTCTCACCTTTTGGGTCAATAACAAGTGCCAAGGTATTGTGGAGGTTGGGGGTGTTTGGATTTTAAACCCCAAAGAAGGAACTGTTAACTGTGGTCCTGAGAACAGCTGGACTAGTAAACACACAGGTTTCTTTGGGTCTTGATGAGATTTTGCTGGAAACTTCCTTCATTCCCTCATCAAAAGAGGAGGCAGGAAGTGGCAAATATGCTTATCTGAGGTGACTCCCAATAAGCATGAAATGGCTTTCTCCTATATGCGTTTAGAGGCCGCACCAAATCTTTCCCATTCCTTACTGTGCAGTGTGGGCCTGGGGACACATGGTGCTTACAGAAAAGCAGAGTAAATCCAGACAGGTGACTTTTTCATTGAGTACCTGTCTCTACACCTCTGCAACAGTTATGTCCTACCTGCCTGAAATCTGACGTGAGAAAAAAATACGGCTGCTTAGGCGAAGTTCTTGTAATGGTGCTCCACTAGCAATTGATCTTTGCTGCAGGTGATGCTGGAAGATGGACGGAGCAAAGGGTTTGGCTTTGTCTGCTTTTCCTCTCCAGAGGAAGCTACGAAAGCTGTGACAGAGATGAACGGGCGAATTGTGGGCTCAAAGCCGTTGTATGTTGCACTTGCCCAAAGGAAAGAAGAGCGAAAGGCCCATCTCACTAATCAGTACATGCAGCGCATCGCTGGGATGAGAGCCTTGCCTGCCAACACAATCATTAATCAGTTCCAGCCTGCTGCTGGGGGATATTTCATGCCTGCTGTGCCCCAGGTGAGATGAACTAGTGTGGGTGTTTTTAACCTGTCTTGGAGCTTCGGTGGTTCAGCTGTAATAATCTCATTGAGCCTTTCTTATGCCTGTAAGCAAATAACCCCTAATGAGGGGTGCAGTCCGTGGAGTTAATTCTGTGACTTCCCAGCTGCCTGTTTGCTTAATGTGAATTGGATGTTTCGTGCTGGCAACAACTGCCAAAACCTGTTGTAAACAATGTTGGTGAATCTCTTGGGTGTTGCCTCTGAGCTTGTCTGATCTTTCTTCAGGCTCAGAGCAGACCCACTTACTATGCACCCAGTCAAATGACGCAGATGAGACCCAACCCACGCTGGCAGCAAGGAGGAAGGCCTCAAGGTGAGCCTGCTAGTGACAATATTTTGGTTGTATGACCCTTTTGGCTGTATCTTCCAACAAAGAGCAACGCATGCTTTCCTTTCCGTGCACAACCCCAACCTGCTTCCTGTAGCTGACTGTCCTGACTTGCCAGTCGTTTGTTTTGAGGATTTCCCCTCATTTCTTCCATTAGGCTTCCAGGGAATGCCAAATGCCATGCGCCAGTCTGGACCACGGCCAGCACTGCGCCATCTGGCCCCTGCCGGCAATGCTCCGGCCTCTCGTGGCCTCCCTGCCGCTGCCCAGCGAGTTGGTAAGGTGTCTGCCTCCCAGGCTCTTCCCCTTGGCTGTGAGGGAGGAGGATGCTGTTGAGACCTGACTTCTATTTCCAAAGATGGTTGTCAGATATGGATGACCAAAGGCCACCTGGAGCAAGGGGCAGAGACAGCACCTGAATCTTTCCTCTTCCTTGCTGTGCAGTGCAGGTCTGGGGACAGTTGGTGCTACAGCACAGCAGTGGAAATCCAGATGGGTTGTTTTCCACTGGCTTGGAACTCCATCTCTACACCTCTGCAACATTTACCACTGGAAAAAAAGCCTCTGTAGGGTGTGGATATTGTCTTCAGAGTAGAGCATCCATACAAATTCACTTTATTCCAGTGAATAGCTAGAAAATAGCTTGAATGCAGGATGTGGAATCCATGGTTTAGTTTTAGGGAGAACGGCATTTTCCTAAAGTAGCCAGTTGCATTTTGGAGACCAGTTCCTAAAGAAGCATTAGTCTGTGCAGGGCATAGCCTGAATTCAGCAGTTGATACCAGACATCCCAACTGATGGGTGTGTTGCTACAGGTGTCTGTAATTCTGTTCTCCTCTTCTTTTGCAGGCGTCGGCACCGCAGCGCAGAATTTAGCTCCTCGCCCACCAGTAGCTGCCCCTGCTCCCCGAGCGGTTCCTCCCTATAAATACGCCTCAAGTGTCCGCAGCCCACACCCAGCGGTCCAGCCCTTGCAGGTAACGCGGGGGTCTGGGCTGTGAGGTCCCTGCGCTTGCTGCAGCCCAACAGGTTTTACATGTGACTCAGGTGTCTTTACAGAAATCTCAGGCTACTTCTGTGACCCAGACAGGCATCATAATTTGGAACTTAAAAACCTGGCAGTTGTAGCTTTGCCAGGGGCAACCTAGTTGGTTTATTTGTCTTGTACTTGCAAGCCCTTTTTTATCCAAATTTGCTGTAAGGATGTTTTTCTTGGTTCTCTGCTTTCCCATTCAGTTTTCTCACATCTTTGCCAAGTCCTCACTAGGGTATCATTGAAAACACAGTTTGCTTTTTCCACAAACCTCTACATTGTAAAAAACCCAGGTGTGGGTGTTGCTCTTCCTCCATTGTGCTATGTCTGATGATGTTTGATCTAGTTTTTGTAAGGTATTTACAGTGCCCATGTGTGACATTATGGGATTTTGAGTTCAGGACTTGGAAAGTAACATGTTTGTGAACGAAGATGCACCTTACCTGTCCTTTTCTGAAACTTAAGTCTGCTGTAGGCTTGACAATTCAGGACTTGGAAAGGAACATGTTTGTGAACGAAGGGCACCTTACCTGTCCTGTTCTGAAACTTAAGTCTGCTGTAGGCTTGACAAAGGTTGTGTGTTAGGAGGAGGGAATATCTTTTTTTTAATTATTATTATTATTGCCTTTAAATATGAAGCAATCAGCCTAGTACCTGTTTCAGAACCCTCATATCTGCCCTTCTGTAGGCACCTCAGCCTGCAGTACATGTGCAGGGACAGGAACCGCTAACGGCCTCCATGCTGGCTGCTGCCCCTCCCCAGGAGCAGAAACAGATGCTGGGTAAGTGAAACTCCAGTTCTTAGAGTTGATGTTTTACTTGCTCGGGTTTCAAAGATGACTTTTTAATTGAAACTCTGTTGTCGGAACTCTTTGTTTTTTTCCCAGGAGAACGTTTGTTCCCTCTGATTCAAGCTATGCACCCCAGCCTTGCCGGGAAGATCACAGGAATGCTGCTAGAGATTGACAACTCCGAGCTGCTGCACATGCTCGAGTCTCCAGAGTCCCTCCGGTCAAAGGTAGACTGGCCTGTTGCTTTAGATGGGGTGGGTTGTGGGAGGCTTGGCTCAGGAGAGCAGGTCTCAACTAGGTAACGTGTCTCCCCGAGGTGGAGGAGGCCGTTGCAGTGTTGCAGGCTCACCAAGCCAAGAAAGAAGCTGCCCAGAAGGTGGGTGTGGTTGCTGCTACCTCTTAAACCCAGGAAGACTGGTGAGTGTCTTGGTCCTTGGCTTCAGCTGAAAGCTTCCTGAATCAGAGTAACTAAAGTGGGATTGCTAGTGAGTGCAGCCAGTCTGGAGGCCTGTGTAGGTCCACCTGCAGCACTTGTCTGATTCGAGTTCCCTCTTTAAAAAAACAAAACAAAACAAACTGTAATGTAGTTTTTTCCAACAGAACCCTTATTGTAGAAGCTTTAGAAATATTCTTCAGAAATCTTCTTTAAGCATCAGAAGGATGCTGTGTAGGTCCCTGAAGTGTTCCTGGCAGTTGGCATGTCAAGGAAAGAATAACATATTGAGAGGAGTCTTGTGAAACTGCTAATGTGGGAAATAAAATGAGACAGACAAGGTGTTCTGGTGACTTTGAGGCTAAATAGGCGGTTAATGCCCAGTTGTTACCCTGACAATCATCTGCCTACAGTCCATATTAAAGCGCTGGTGTCAGGAATGTCAGTTCACTGCATAGGTGTGTCCAAGCAAGTGCTGTCTCCTGTGTTTGGAGCTGGCTCTTGTTTAACTTCTGAATAAGATTCCTGATTCTTTGAATGCCTCTTCTTGCTTTGGATGATCCATTTTTTCTGTGGATCATCTGGAATTGATGCCTTCAGTACTTCTGGTGAAGCTGTTGTGGTCAGATGTCACAACTCAAATGGTGAAGAATGATGAGGGTTCTTATATTTTCATCCATATTTCTCCAGTCACTGGCTTCTCTGCTAAAGAATTGGAGTCTCTCATCAGAGGATCAGAAGTGGATATTGTCCACAACTGTTAAGAGCTTCTCTGTACCTTGCAAATTATATTGCAAATTATGACTTGTACTGCTGGGAAGTTCACTAGCCTGGAGTGAGGTGTGCTGTGTGTGGGTAACTTGTCTTCCTCTCTTCCTCTAGGATGCAAAGAAGCCAAATAGCCCATTCATAGACATCAGCTCAAGATGTTTGAAGATTCTTCACTGTCCTGCAGATTTCAATGCCATGCATCATATCACATAGTTATATTGCATTTTGTAAATTAATCTTTAAGATCTTATTTAAAAAGCCAACTCTGAAGCTCTAGATTTCCAAAACCAGAATTGGGCTTGCAAGCTTTTCCTTTGTGGTCAGAGCAGAGCCACTCTTTGTGTCTTCTAAGGAGGACATTTGAGGATTTTAGGTTGAAAGTATTTTATGGTTCATTTAACTGATGAACAATCCTGTTTGGAAAGTCTGGAAAGCATTTATCAATAAAGGAATAAACTTTCACTATGTTTGTCATCTTTTTCTCTCCATTTGATAAGTAAATGTGATACGGCTTAGTAAAATCAAGCTGACAGGGAGTTCTCATAGGATTGATATATTAAAATTGTGACTTAATGGAGTTATTCTGCATTTTGGATGAATGCTGTTTGAAGCAGCTCTGTTAACATAATGGGCCTGGGGCATAATGCTGGGTTGGGTTAGTGCCTGAGTGGGAGAGGACTATAAGCAGTGACCCCATAGAAGGGTTTGGGGGGTGTTTTTTCCAAGTGAAGTGGGGAAAAGCTTTGGCTCCTTTTTCACCCTCTGCAGGGGAGGAGAAGCTTTGCTGCTCTTTGTGTGTATTTCTACGTGTTCGGAGGGATCTCTTCTTTAACGGCTCCGTTGCTGTTGTATACTATGCCTTTGATAAATGCTTTGTAAACCGATTTGGGTGATCCTTGGGGGCGGAAAGCGTTATTCAAGAAGTACAGCGCAC